GACAGACGAGGACAGCACAGAGGGCATCACATGGCTGCAGCTGCAGTCTGCAACAGAGAACGTCAATGTAGTCAAACAGCCAGTAGCCAATGATGCAAAGCAGCTCTTTGCCATATTTATGGTGGATGAACAGCCCATAAGATTTCAGCTGGATTGTGGAGCAAGTTGCAATGTCATTCCATTTACTCTGCTTAACAAACAGGTTCCCATTGAGCCCACTGATAAGGTACTGGTCATGTACAACAAAAGTGTTCTGAAACCCATGGGAACATGCAAGCTAAAATTAAGAAATCCACGTAACAGAAAGAGCTACAGAGTGGAGTTTACTGTGTTGCAGGAGGACGATCACATTCCTTTGCTGGGAGTTAAAGCAGTTCAGGCTATGGACTTAATAAAGGTGCAGTCCCATAACATCATGGCTCTGGAAGTTTCTGACAATACTCAAAATCCTACACAAAAGGCAGAATACATTTTGGATTTTCACCACATAAAAACAGAGTATGCTGATTTATTGAAGGTGATGGGTGCCTGGAAGGTAAATACAAACTAGAAATTGATCACACAATACAGCCTTCCAGACTGCCTACAAGAAGAGTACCTGTAGCCTTAATGCAACCGCTTAAAGAGGAACTGCAGGATTTGCACAGCAGAGGTATGATAGCACCAGTACAGGAAAGCACAGACTGGATAAGCAGTTTGGTGATAGTGAAAAAACCATCAGGCAAGTTAAGAATATGCATTGATCCTAAGCCACTGAACAAGGCCCTTAAAAGAAATCACTATCCAATGCCAACAATAGAAGATATTCTACCAGATCTATCAAAGGCTAAAATATTTTCGGTATGTGATGTGAAAAATGGGTTCTGGCATGTGGAACTGGATAAAGAATCAAGTTTATTAACAGCATTTTCTTCCCCATTTGGACGCTATAAGTGGCTTAGAATGCCAATGGGAGTAAGCCCAGCTCCAGAAGTGTTCCAACAAAAATTGATGCAAGCTTTGGAAGGACTGTCTGGAGTAAAAATAATAGCAGACGATATACTAATAGTTGGGGAAGGTGATGATCTAGAATCCGCAACAAAGGATCACGATAAAAAGATGATACAATTCTTAGACAGATGTAGAAAAAAACAAATCAAACTGAACCTGGAAAAATTCAAACTAAAAATGACAGAAGTACCATATATTGGACATCTTCTTACCTCAAATGGTGTTAAAGTCGATCCAGAGAAGGTGAGGGCGATACAGGACATGCCCACACCTACAGATATACGTGGAGTACAACGATTCCTGGGCATGGTGAATTATCTTTTCAAATTTTGCAAGCATTTATCAGACATGTGTGAGCCACTGAGACAGCTAACTCACAAAGATGTACTCTGGGAATGGACAGAAAGCCATGAAACTGCTTTTCAGTCAGTGAAAAATGCTATTGCAGACGCAGCAACGCTAAAATATTTTGATCCAGATCAAGCAGTGGTAGTACAATGTGATGCCTCAGAAACCGGCCTTGCTTGGAGCCACACTAATGCAGGATAAACAGCCAATCACATATGCAAGCAGAGCGTTAACTCTAACAGAGCAAGGATATGCTCAAATCGAGAAGGAACTACTAGCGGTAGTATTTGGGTTAGAGAAATTTCACCAGTACACCTACGGTCGACAAGTGGTGGTGCATTCAGATCACAAGCCTTTAGAAAGTATTACAAAGAAGCCACTACTGAATGCCCCAAATAGACTGCAGCGTATGCTGTTAAGGCTTCAGAAATATGATTTTAACATTTGTTACTGTCCAGGGAAGGATTTACTGATTGCAGATGCCCTAAGCAGAGCTTACTTACCCATCACAAATGAAGACGAAAAAGACATTGAAAGCATCAATATGTGTGAATATCTGTCTGTCTCAAAAGACAGACTGAAACAAATACAGACCTGCACAGCGGAAGATCCTATCGACTGTCACCTTGAAGGGATGGCCAAAACACAAGCAGCATGCTCCAATGGAGGTTTCTCCATTTTTTCACATAAGAGATGAACTCTCTGTGCAGCATGGAATCATCTTTAAAGGAGAAAGAGCTGTCATACCACAATCATTAGAAGAGACATTATAGAAAGATTGCACTCGACTCACTTAGGTGTAGAAGGATGTCTACGTCGTGCACGAGAATATGTTTATTGGCCTGGAATGAATGACCACATAAAAAACTTTATAGCACAGTGTGAAATATGTGCATCGTGCAATGATAAGCAACCGAAAGAGACATTGCAACCACATATAATTCCAAACAGACCATGGTCAAAAGTAGGACCAGATGTGTTCACGTGGAACGACAAGGAATATCTGGTAACCGTGGACTATTTTTCCAACTTCTGGGAGATAGACTACTTACAGGACACAAGGGCCAAAACAGTAATTAAAAAACTCAAGGCCCATTTTGCCAGATATGGCATTCCGGATATTGTGTTCTCTGACAACGCCGCTCAATTTACATCGGAAGAATTCAAAAAAATTCAGGTAGAGGTGGGAATTTGAGCACCAGACATCATCTCCTGGATATCCGCAGAGTAATGGTAAAGCCGAGTCAGCAGTAAAAACAGCCAAAAGACTCATGCAAAAGGCAAAACAGGCAGGTACAGAGATATACCTGTCTATACTGGACCACAGAAACACACCCACACAAGGCCTAGACACCAGTCCAGCACAGTGGCTTATGAGTATGAGTAGACGTACAAGGACTCTCCTACCAACTGCAGGTCAACTACTAAAGCCAAAGCTTGTGGGCAATGTTAAAGCCAAACTAACGAAGAATCAAGATAGGCAAGCTTTCTATTATAATAAATCTGCAAAAGATCTGCCTGTTCTCCAGAGCAATGACAATGTACGGATTCAGCCAATAGGGAAATATGACAAACACTGGAAAAAAGCGAAGGTTGTACAGAAATTGGGACCACGGTCCTATGAAATTATAACAGAGGAAGGAAGAAGATGGAGGAGAAATCGGAGACATCTGAGAAAAAAACACAAGAAGGAGATGATACAGGGCCCTGGGAACAGTATATGGACACTCAAAGTGATGAGACTATGAATACCAGCAACAAAGAAACAGGAACTGCTGAGGAGCATAGGGAGGTCTCTAGGCAGAGAGAGACAGTCCCAGAAAATAGACTGCCAGAATCAGAAGAAACCTCATATGTTACGCGAGCTGGCAGAACAATCAGAAAGCTGGCTCACCTCAAGGATTATATCTAATTTATAGCTATGTTCTACTTCACCATTTTGTGTTTGTTATATTTCATTGTTCTTTTATTTAAAAGAGAAAGGATGTAGCAATATGTTATATGCTGTGTATGGCCTCTAGGGGTCTCACTACTTAGATACTGGTACAACTGTGTTATTGCCTCTCTTTGGTTGTAGTTCTAGGGCAGACACATGTATAATGGCAGCTAGAAGCACCTAATAAAATGTCTCCTGTTAACTACAGTGTGTGAGCATCTGAGCAGGATCGACTAACAGAACATAGCCCCCGTACAGACTCCCCTGCAGACTACTTCCCCATATTACAGCTTGTGGTCTACTACATAGGGTTGCATCTGTGCATGTTGGATGAATATGCATGTCCAACAAAAGCTTTGGTGCCAAAAGCCCTATTTAAAGCACAACACAACTGAGGAGATTTGCTGACTGGTCAATAGTTCCCATGATCTGACGTGCATTCTGCTGTCCTATATTTGACCTCCTGACTTTGGTGTGTTCAGATCTCCTGTTGCTGCCCTTGCCTGGTATCATGACTACAATGTTTGCCTGCTGTCTTGGTACCTTTGCTGCCTGTCTGTTATTGACCATGGGTTGGACTTTGAAGTGCCTGCTTCCTGCCAAGTTTCTGTGCCCAACCTGAATATTAACCTTTTGTGCAGACAGCATGTCCAGCAACACAGCAGCTCCTACATTGTCTTCTCATTTTCTGATGCATCTAGGCCCTCTGCAGCATCCATTCCACTGCTGTGTCCTGCTCTGAGCTAGGAGTGGGGGTTCCCTGGGATTCCCTGTCTTCAGGGAGAAGAACTTTAATGTAGTTCCACTGCTACCAATCAAACCAAGAATGTCTCTATAGTTACCTATGGCAGGGTTATTTGAGTGTCTAATATAACCTATTAACTTTGACTCAGCTCCTGATCTTTCACAGAAGATATACTTGTCCATGCTTCCTTGCCACCTCCCTACTACAGCAATCTACCCTGAGCAAGCTTTGGTGTTGGAGCATACCTGATAGATGATGTCACTGCCTTCTCCAAGTGATAATATTCTGGCCTGGTGATTGGCTGCTGAAGCCCAAGCACTCTCACAAAGGGGAAGTTAATACCCCCATTCCAAGAAACCCTGCTCTTTTAGAGCAACACAGTAAGGGCTTCAATGGAGTAGGTAAGGCAGCATAGACATGCATTAGTGGGTATAACGTGCTGGGGGGAGCTATCACCAGACATGTCTCTTTCAATTCTGCTTGACGCTTGTGCTCACTGATATGCATTGCATAGATGGCCAGCCTTGGAAGTGAAGGACAACTTTAGGTCACCATTAAAGTTAATAGGGTCTGTCCTACATGCTCAGTAACAAACATCCAAAAAAGGCCATGATATGTCTGATGGTTAATAACCTACTCTATTACATATATTGCAAAAAAGAAGAAAAAAGTAGGTTTTAAAGACCCACTACATTTGTATAGAAGGGTTAGAACTCTTTGAGGATTCTAATGCTATGTTCCTGCTGGGGAAATTAACTCTCTCTTCCAAGAGACACGTGTCTGACAGAGTAGGTTGTTATGTGATATCTTTTTCTGATTCCTACCCATCCTAAAAGTTTAAAAAGTTGTTTGCTGGAGTTGGAATTTAACCGCTTTCGCTCCATCCTATAGCAGATATACTGCTACAGGGTGGCAGGGGTGCACAAAATCACGTGTGTGTGTATATATATATATACAGTATATATATACTGTATATGTGTGTGATTTTGCATTTCCAGGTAGGGGGCGCACGAGAGCCGCACACGTGCCCTACCCATGCCACTATTCACGGCCTCGGCTTTCAATCACCGGGTCCTGGCCAGTGATTACTCGATCAAGGAGCATTACTGACGGAGGGAGAGAACTGTATGTAACCAATACAGTTCTCTCCCCTGTCAGCTCCTGCACACTCTGCATAGCAGTGTGCTTATAGTTGAAAAGCACAGACACATCACAGAGTAAAACAGCACACAGTTAACCCTTTGATCACCCCTACATGTTAGCCCCTTCCTGCCCAGTGTCATTAGTACAGTGTCTGTGCTTTTTGTTAGTACTGATCACTGTATTGGTATCACTGGGGATGTCAGTGACACCAAATCAGTTTTCCCCAGTGTCAGAATGCCTGCCGCAGTTCTGCAGTCCCTCTATAAGTCGCTGATCACCGCCTTTTCTAGTAAAAATAAAAAAATCCCAGTATGTATACCGCCATTTGTAAAAGCTATCACTTTCATATAAACCAATTAATTTACATGTATTTAGATTTTTTTTAGCAAACACATGTAGCAGAATGCATTTTGGCCTAAATTTATGACAAAATTAGATTTTTTTAATATTTCTGCTGAATATGTTTAAAAGCAAAAAGTCAAAAATAATATTTTTTTCTCAAAATTGTCGGACTTTTTTTGTTATAGCGCAAAAATTAAAAATGCACAGGTGATCAAATACCACCAAAAGAAATCTCTATTTGTGGGGAAAAAAGGACATACATTTCATTTTGGTGCAGTGTTGCATGACTGTGCAATTGTCAGTTAAAGTAACGCAGTGCCGTAATGCAAAAAATGGCCTGGTCAGGAAGCGGGGTAAATCCTCTGGAGGGCAAGTGGTTAAGTATTTTGGTATTTATAATACTCAAAACATTCAAGTATACATCAAAGAAGCCATGGAATAAGCACCTCTTGTGCTAGCCACACTGTTTACTAGAACCACAGAGAAGAAAAGATTTGGGGTGCAGCAATTAATGTGACCTGGCAGTAGGAAAAACAAATAGAATTCTGTAGTGCATCACTAGAAGGATCACAGGCAGGAGGAAGAAGGTCCTGATTCCTCTATATAGATTTTTAGTTATTACTAGAGGGATCACAACCAGGAGAAAAAAAGGACCTGATTCCCCCATATACTGTAAATAATTAGTTATCACTAGAGGAGTCACCAGCAAGAGGAAAGAGGTCCTAATCTTGATGGACCACTTGGTCTTTTTTCTGCCGACACTCTTTTAGGCTTCATTGTTTCTATTTAATAATCTAAACAGCAAAAGCATGTAACTGGTAGGGTGCTGTCTGTCTTCTTTCATTGGGCGCCAAATTGTAGGATGACACAGAAAGGTCTACCTTGGGGTGGGTTCTTCTGGGCTCCGCTAGGCACTGTGGATGGGGGTCACTCACCCTGTGCATAGGGCACCTTTGCTGTCCCATCAATGGCCCGGGACCAGATAGGGATTGCTGTCAGGGAAATTCAGCCTTAAGGTGGTCCTCCAACATAGAGATGGCTGTACACCATGTACACTGAGTGAATGAACTAAACTCCAGTTAACTCTCTGGTCCCATGTCAATGCATACTTTGACTGTAACTGTTGCATTTAGGAGGGACACACTGAGCCTATGCCCACTCCAGTCATTCGGCGTATATCTGTCACTTCTCTTCCAGTGACAGAATGGAGTCATAATGTGCACCTAGCGAGGACCTCATGCATGTTCTTTGTCTTCTTTCCCGTACCTGGTAGCTAGGCTGAGGGCCTCCTTGATCGTGATCTCCATGCTTCATGACAGGCTGCTTGTACTGGTTACTACTCTCTTGGTACTCTTGGCAACTACTTGCTTTACTCTGCACTATGTTGATTTTGCAGAAGCTGACTTCATACCCCAATATGCTTTAACTGATCCAAGCTGCAGAAGACTATGTCTAAAGTGATGCTGGTTACTATCAAAACCCCCTTTTGAATAACTTCAGACTAGGCTTTACTGTAAAATTTTCAGGGCAGCAAATTAACAGGCAAAGTCTTTTCCTTAACGAACCCTAACTTGGGATGTGGCTGCCCCAGCATACCTGCACAGTAAGAGTCCATTATTGGTAAGTCAAGGATGGTGCTATCAATAAGGCAGGTGGCCTGACAAGTCGGTGCCTTCAGTGCAGACTGCAAGTCCTGGTAGTTCCTTTACATGGTGTGTTTGCAGAGTTTAGCTCCATTTCCTACGCATGCTGAGCTTCCCGAGATCTAAACACCCTGTCCCTTTTATAATAATACAAGATCAGTGGGTTGGACTCAAAAAGACTGCAAACTTAGCCCCGGGAATGGAAAAAAAAGATAGTAAACCCTTCCCCCAGGCTAGGGTAGCCATGCTAACTAATTTATCGCAGGCAACCTGCCTACAAGCAGCAACAAACACTTATTTTAGAATAGTATATGGATTTTTTATTAAATCAGGAATTGTTCATAAAAATTATTTCAAATATACATCATAAAGGATCAGATCCAATAATACACAATTGATTTACATTCGCTTAACAAAAAGAGCACTTGAGTATTGAAAGCAATAAATTTCACTCCTCACTCTCAGATCATTTTTACCCATTGTTAGTTTTTAAAACATATGTAAACCCAATTTATAAATTTTCATATAACTTTAACTTGTTAAAGTAATTTTTTTCCGAAAAATGCAGCTTTTACAGGTATATAAAAATGTGCATTTAGTATTTTTTACAGTGCAGTCTACAAAGCATTGCATCTGTGATCAGTAGATCACAGGTGCAAATGCCGGGTTCCTGCACTCAGTAAAGATGTCTGCCCATACCTCCTGTACAGGCAGACAGTTACTGAACCGCAGGAACAATCAGTGGACTACAAGGACAATAACAAGTGCCCTCAAAGTTCATTGAGACCTACGAGCCATCTGCCACGGAGGAAGATGGGACTTGTAGTTCACTCTTTCACAGAACTCTTGGAAGGAATGACGCAGCTGTGTGGATGGAGCAGCATTGCACACGTGCTGTTTTTATGACAGCAGGGAGATTATCCCCTGCCCACTGTCTCACAGGGAGGATGAGGAAGAGAAAGGTGCGCCAAAGTAACATGTCACATGTTACACCATAAATACAAGTGAACTTATCCTATAAATGGCCATGGTGTATATTTGTATTGCTCTCCAATTAGATTGCTTATTTCTGTATGACCTAACAACTGAAAATAAAGAATTAAAAGAAAAATTCTTGTCACATTTTTTTTCCTTCCTAGGCCTGTTGGTGAAATTTCCCTTCATTCCCTTTTCCATAGACACACGAGGAGGTGAGGGGGAGAATGCATCTCTTAAAAGGCTGTCAGAGCAACAAGTGTCTGCATTAGGTGTTTTCCTCCTCTATTTCTGTTACAACTCAAAACTTCAGGTTTTCCCACACTTTTATTCCCACTTTCAGTTCAAGTGACAATAGAGAGTGGAGAAGATAAAGAGAGCAAAGGGGACACAAAAAGCAATAAAAACTAAAGGGTTCTAACCCAATCCCCGATATGACCAGAGGTGTGTGGACTGACACAGGGAAACGCAGGCTTCAGGTATAGTATAAACAATACAATTTATTCAAGACTAAACAATACATAAATTCAGTGCAAGACTAAACATAAACACAGTGCAAACAAACCAAACCTCCAACAGATAACAATAAGAACAATACTAAACGTAGTTGGGCAGGCCGAACAGTAGCAAACGGGCAGGCAAGGTACAAGGAGCAGGCGGAAGAGTAGTCAGGAATAGCCGAGGTTAGTACAGGCAGAGTTCATGCAGAGTCAGGATTCAAGCAGGCAGGATCAGGATACAGGGACCAAGGGAAACTATACACCAAGGCACTGACTGCAGGCCTGGCCACTCCTTAAATACACCTCCTGCAATCAGCCTCAGGTGATGACTTAATTGCAGGAGTGAGCTTCTGGCTGCTGAGAGCACCCGCTGGCCAGCCCTGGTACTGCAGCCCACACGGCAGGTGTGTCCCACCACCAGTGGTGAGTCCATTCCTGACACCTCCACAATCTATTCAGTTTTGTATGTAAATATACTTTAATCCAATATACACACTCACCAGCCACTTTATCACTTAACACCTGTTCAATTGCTTGATAACACAAATTGCTAATCAGCCAATCACATGGCAGTAACTCAATGCATTTAGACATCTAGACGTGGTGAAGACAACTTGCTGAAGTTCCAACCGAGCATCAGAATGGGGAAGAAAGGGGATTTAAGTAACTTTGAATGTGGCATGGTCGTTGTGCCAGATGGGCTGGTCTGAGTATTTCAAAACTGCTGATCTACTGGGATTTTCACACACAATCACCTCTAGGGTTTACAGAGAATGGTCCGAAAAAGAGAAAATATTCAGTGAGTAGCAGTTGTGTGGACAAAAATGCCTTGTTAATTTCAGAGGTCAGAGGAGAATGGGTAGACTGTTTCAAGATGATAGAAAGGCAACAGTAACTCATGGACCAAAACCTCTGAGGAATGTTTCAAACACCTTGTTGAATCTATGCAATGAAGAATAAAGGCACTTCTGGAGGCAAAAGGGGTCCAACCTGGTACTAGCAAGGTGTACCTAATAAAGTGGCCGATGAGTGTATACAGTATATATATTTATTATAGTTCTCTTCAGTTTCTTTAAGAATTGCTGTGATCTATCAGCCTCCTGGACCAGTATCAAGCTTCCTTGATGACTTCTTTGCCTGGCTGCCTTACTTTCTCTCTTCTGAAATTCCCACAATCATTCTTGGTGACTTCAACAGCCCTGTTAATCTTAACACTCCTGCTACTTCTAAACTTCTAGATAAAAGTCATTCAGTGTAGCTTAGGGTGTGGTTGCCATCATCCCTATTTCCATTATAGAGAGAACTATATCTTACGTTTAGTTTAGCCAGACTAAAGGGGTAGTATACCTAATGCTATGTGAATGTGGATCTTTTTATGTGGGTCAATAATTTTGGAAGCGCATTTATATACATGTTCATGCTATGAGAATAGGTCATCTCTATTTACCCTTGGGAAGGCATGTTGCCAAATTCCATAAATATAGAATGCCCAAGGTGACTTTTACAGCTCTTGATAGGATACACTTTCCAACCAGGGGAGGCGACTGGAACAAGGGCACTACTCCAATAAGAAATGCGCTGGATTAGATGCCTTGATGCCACTCGCCATCCTGGTTTAAAAGAATCTGAAAACTATAGACCCTTTCTAGAGGGATTAACCTCTGGAAAAACAGATTAGGAATGTATTTAGCAATGTCCTCCTATTCAACGTTACATTTATATCTCCCTACAGGGAGATTTTCCTATTTTGTCTATGCTGCAAGGATCCTTCTTTAATAATATTTGTCATATCT